CTCAAAGGAACACTGGGAGGAGGGATTAATGAATGTCCACAAATTCTCATTGTAAAAAACAGCACTTTATCTAGAAGTTACTCATTTTGTGATGTCTCGCATGGTGTCCAGCACTATTTTCATGGTAGATGACTTTCAGCCAAACTGGTCCCTGAATAGTGGAGTGCAGAGAGGTGACCAACAAGACAAACCATTTCTGCAGTCACTGGTGTACAAGTGGGAGGACTGATTGTATTTTATAGGGTTAGAACAATAGTAAGTGCATCCACACAAGCAAGTGGTTGACTGAGCTAACTGCAGTGGAGGTTAACCCCACAAGAAATCAGGAGAACTTGAACAGAATGGTAATAAGTGAAAAATCAATTGTAGCAAATGTGCATGTATGAAGGGCACTTTCTACTAAACGAAGAACAATTTGAATGATTTCTCCAGTGTAGACAAAGCCTAAGAGTTCACATTGCTGTATATTATGAATATGCAATGAGCTGGCATATTATGTATATTTATTTGCTATATATTTATGATGCCATTACATGTAAGTGGTAGATCAAGTTTTCCAACAAGAACTAAGTGAATAACAAACATTTTGACAAATCAATTGAGTATACACTTAGACTATGTTATATAAACCCTAATTTACTATGCTTCATTGCAAATATACAGTTATTTCAACTACTTTAACATAACACAAGAACTAGGGGGTCACCAAATGAAATTAATAGGTAGCAAGTTTAAAACAAAGGAAGTTTTTTTCATGCAGCACACAACCAACCTGTAGAGCTCCTTGCCAGAGGATCTTGTGAAGACCAGGACTTAACAGGCTTCAACAAACTAGATAAATTCATGGAGGTTAGGGTCATCAATGGATATTAGCCAGGGTGGGTAGGAATGGTGTTCCTAGCCTCTGTTTGTTAGAGGATGGAAATGGATGACAGGAGAGGGATCATGTGATGATTATCTGTTCTGTTCACTTATTCTGGGGCATCTGGCATTGGCCACTGTCAGAAGACAGGACACTGTGCTAGATGGATCTTTGATCTGACCCAGTATGGCCATTCTTATGTTCTTATTATGGATTCAATAGGCTTTTGTGGGCTAGTCTGGGAATCTAACATTCTTTCTATGGGAAAGTGTATTCCGAGTTCCAAACAATCAACTTACAAATGGACTTTTGGAACACAACCCGGCATGGAAGTGATGCTCACAACTGAAACTATCAATGAGCTCACCCACAAAAAGATGCTCTGTGGAGAAGAAGAGAGTCTTGAGATCACCTTTCTAGCAGAAGGGAATATGGAAAACAAAAATAGTGGTATTTCTCAGTAAAGTTCAAACCAGAAGAGAGTGGCTTCTCATGGCTATGACTTTGACAACTGATATTAAACACTTTGGCTGTGTCTGGACTGGCAAGTTTTTCTGCAAAAGCGGCTGCTTTTGTGGAAAAACTTGCCAGCTGTCTACACTGCCGCTTGATTTTGCACAAAAGCACTAACTTTCTACTGTCTGAAATCAGTGCTTCTTTGCGGAAAAGCGTCCGTGCCAATCTAGACACTCTTTTCCACAAATGCTTTTAACGGAAAATTTTTTCCATTAAAAGCATTTGTGGAAAATCATGCCAGTCTAGACGCAGCCTTCTAGTCTATTTTACTCTGCAAGCATCTGACATCAGGCTAATGAAACAGCTTTTGTGTTTAGAATAATTGAGGATCTTATGTCAATTTTTTGCAGATGTCACTGATCTTACTCTCATTTTCCTCCCTGCCTCTTCCCTATGGCTGTGTCTACAATGCACCCCTTTTCCGGAAAAGGGATGCAGATGAGACAAGTAGGAATTGCCCGGGGAATATAAATATCCCCCGCTTCATTTGTATAAACATGGCTGCCGCTTTTTTCCAGCTCGGGGCTTGTGACGGACCGGGCTATGACTGGGCACAGCTGAGGGCATCCGAATTGCTCAAATCCGGGGCTCCTTACAGCCCCCAGACTGGTGACCTCTCCAAACAGGCCACAAACCAGTCCCACAGAGCACTCCAGCAGCCTGCCTGAAGCCTCACGAGCAAAACCCCTCCGGCACCCCAGCAATATCCATGCCCCAGATGGCCCCGGGCCTCATACACAGGTGGGAGGTCCTAGCCCCCAACCCCACCTCCCCCGAACAAGTCCTGTCCGGTTCCAAGAAACCAGCCACAGATCCCTGGTCAATTTACCCTTTGGACCTTACCCACAAATCACGCTGGGCCAATCCTTTAGCATCTAACAACTAAAGGTTTATTATTACAACAAAGAAAAGCATGAGAGTAAGGTTATTAAAGGAATAGTACGTTACATGCACCGAATCTCCCAGTTCTCGATGCAGGCTCTAGCAGAGATGTCACAGCTGCTGGTTTAAAAGTTCTTATTGCACATCCTACGATCAGGATGGGTTCACAGGTCTTCCAGGCTCTTCGATCCCTGCAATGCCGCCTCTGGGATGAAGTGCTGAGCTGAGAACAAAATGGAGTCCCCCACATGGCCTCTTTATACATCCTTCCTGGCCTCTCCTTGGCCGCAGCCAGTCACCTGGCAGTCAGCCTCTCTCTGCTGCAGCTCTTAGGCCTCCGCCCTCATGCTTTAGGTGTGTCCTTGGCCCATCGAGTGCCATTGTCCCATAGGGCCTCACTAATTAGCATGTCCATAGGTCAGGCTCTGCCCAATGCTCTACCACATTCAGAGAAATATTCAGTTTCCACACAGATTACAGATTGCTACCTACACACACAGACATTATACACTCACATAAATAGCGTCCACAGGATCAGCAGACAGTAAGCTTCTATTCAATACCTCACATGGCCCCCTTCTATACCATTCTTGGGGCCAACACCCCCACCTATGGGTGCATCAGTGATCTGGCTGCTCCCCTCAAGATCCAGTAACGTGACAGGTCTTTGCCGGAGAAAAGCGCCAGTCTAGATGGGATCTTTCGGAAAATAAACCCTTTTCCGAAAGATCCCTTATTCCTCTTAAAATCAGGAATAAGGGATCTTTTGGAAAAGGGTTTATTTTCCAAAAGATCCCGTCTAGACTGGTGCTGTTCTCCGGCAAAGCCCCGAGCCGGAAAAAAGCGGCAGCCATGTTTATGCAAATGAAGCGGGGGATATTTAAATCCCCGCTTCATTTGCAATTCCAACTTGTCTCATCTGCATCCCTTTTCTGGAAAAGGAGTGCAGTGTAGACACAGCCTATGAGTTGGGCTCCCATTCTACGTTAATTGGTGAGGGCAACATGTATTTTGGTATGTTCCCCTATGGACCTCAACAAAGTTCCAAAATATGATAATCAGGATTATTTGGAGGATAATCAGGATCCTATCAGGATGATAATCAGGATTATACAACTGAGGAAAATAACTTTTTTGTCTTTGAGGCTTAAAAAACATTAAAAACTTCTGGTTTTTGGTTGTAAATGTGACACAAACTCACCAGCAGCTCTGAGAACCACATCTGAGGGGGCCTTTCTCAGTAAACTGCATGCCCACAGATGACAGTTCCTTTCAGGTGCCTCAGCCGCAACGTGGCTAGTGACGGCTGCATCTGAAAGCACAGCTGGGACTGTAACTAGTAATCACTCATTTCCCAGGAGTCACTTTGTAGGATGTTGCATTGACAAGGCTTTTTGATGTACATTGAACATGCAATCACCTTTTCAGTGCCATTTTTCTCATGCACAGCAATCTGGAGCACACTGACTTCTCCCAGAATTGAATCAGCAGTCTTCAGGGAACAGGAAAGCCAGTTCAGATGAAGATGATGTAGGGATAACATATCAATGTATTAAAAATGTGATTCCCCCAAATGGAAGTGACTCCCCATAATTTGTTCCCCACAACTTAAAGTGTTTAGATTTATTATTAATTCTTCTTCTTATTATTATTATTTGTTAAGATTGTTAAATGTTTAGATTTATTATTATTATTGCCCCTTTAGAATATAATGTATTAGGTCATGTAACTTAGAACTGTTAAGAATATAATC